CAGTGCTGCGGGGCGGCCTCGGCCTCGCCGCGGCTCTGCAGCGCCTCAATGACCCGCGCCAGCGTGACGTTGGGCGGCGAGGCGCTGCAGTCCACGCGCTGGCGGCACACGGGGCACAGGAACTGCCCGGGCAGCTCGGAGGACAGCGACACCACGCAGGACTTGCAGTACGAGTGCCCACACTGCAGCATGAGCGGCTCCTTGAACACCTCTAAGCAGATGGGGCAGAGGAGCTGGTCCTCCAGCTCGTCCATGCTCATCTTGCGAGCCATCCCGCCTTCCAGCACGGTGCACGCAAGCGGAAGGGACCTGGCCTGGGAAACACAGACAGGACATCAGTCCTATTGCAAGGGGCAAAGTAAGCACAGACGAGTGAAGACAGAGTTCACCACTTGGGGGAGTTCAAACAGATACCTCTCAAACACTTTCTAGCTCAGGCACTTGTGAACTCGTTGCTATGCTCCAAGCAAAGTCTGAGGTGGTGGTTTGAGTCTGAGCATCTCTAGTGGTTCGAGCCCTGCCGACACGGATGCCCATCTGGGTCTGCCAGATCTGCCTGAAATGGCAGCGGGTGCCACCAAGCTGACGCCCACCTGGGACCTCTGCCTGGCAGCCGTGTCAGCCTGGAGCCCCCCTCGGGGTACCTGTCTGTATCCTAGGCTGAGACAGAGCCAGGAGGGATTCACTGCTGAAATATATATATATATATATAAAAGGATCCTGGTCTGTCTGAATTCCTGTAGGTCTTGCTGGGCTCACTGTCTCCTCCTCAGAAGGACCAGCATTAATGCAAGTGTCTAAGCAAAAGCAGACAGAAATCACCAACAGAGCCCAATGCTTGTCCGTGCTGCACAGCAAATGCCTCCTTCCAAGCTGCTAGAGCCAGCGCCACGCTGCCACGGCACAGAGGGCATCAGCATCGGGACAAGCAGCCCCAGCCCTAGAATTGGCACTGTTCTCCCAAAGCAAGTTCTTCTACTGCTCTCCCACTGTTCCCACTGCACTGCTACTCGGTTCTTTGCGGTGGAAAACACATTAACTTGCTGGTGTTTCCTATAGCAATGATGAATGCAGGGCAGTGTGGTACCTGTCTGCTCCTGCCCCAAAAGACACGCGCCAGGGTGCCCTGAACACACCGGAGAGAGGGCAGGTCACAGAGCTCCTACAGCCTCCTCACTCACACGGAAATAAACCCAAAGGTGAAAACTGAGACTCGATCCCTTCTCCAGAGAAGGGGAAGGCCGCAGCCTCAGCTCAGCTTTGAGCATACACTGCTTATCCTCCACGTGGGGAATCGGTGGGGAACCAAGCAGGAAAAGTTCACATTTCAGCTCCTGGCTAGTCAGACCCCCAGTGCAGGCTGTACACGAAGGCAGCTCGAGCTGCTCCCTCCGCTCGCAGACACCTGACAGCCACCCAGTCATCGAGCAACTCACTTGTCTCGTGTCCTGGCTCCGCTCCTGCTGGCTCACCAAGCCCAATGGATGCCACTTGTCTCCTCCAGGCCAAGCCGAAGGTTTCAGCCCCCGCTGGCGTCGTGGATGGGCCAAGGAGCAGGATCCCCAGCTCCCGGGCAGGAGCCGAGCTCTGCAGCCCACCCAGCTCCTCCTGCAGCTTCAGCCCCACCGAGGAGGTCCCAGCGGGACGTGGAGGTGAGGCAGGAGCTCTGGCTCTCTTGTGGCGCCGGCTGTGACGAGTGTGTCACCTGCCTGCCACCCCCCCGCGCCCCAGCCCCCAGGAAACGCTGCTCACTGCCCCTGGAAAGCCGCACGCATCATATGACTGTGCGGTCAGTCGCAACCGCGCCAGCCTCGATAAGGGAACGAGCTGTTTGCCTCCCTCGGCGGCCAGCTTCCAAGAGCCCTGCTGTTCAGTCAGCCACATTGCTTGGGCCAGTGGAAATATTTTCACCAAAGCACTTTCTTATCAATGAAAACTGTTTTTTTTTTTTTTGGATTGAAACCCTCCAATTTTCCTTGGGGTTGATACCTTTCATTCTTTTCAAAAACACCAGAGGAAAACCCAGAGCATTGCCCCTCCAGTTTGGGATAGGGTGTGCATGTGTACTTTTTGCCCATAAAAACATGGTTTCTTGGATAATGGTCCTTGTGTTCACAGACTTAGGGCAACCCCAATAGCTTCTCTCTTCACATCAACCTGGGCCAAGCTGAGAATGACACAAGGCTTTGCAGCTGCAAGGGCCTAGTCTTGGAGGCCACCCTACTGCAGCCGTTAGATGGAGGAGCAGAGAGATCCGGGGATCAGAACATTTACCCGTGGTCAGGAGACCTAGCTCAGCCTCCTCCAAAGCAAAGGCTTCTCTTCTCTGGGGTATCGGAAACCAGAAAACTGCACCTTTTTTTTTTTTTTTTTTTTTCCAAAAAATTATGGAAAGACCCTGGG